AACAAAGTCTTGGAATGGATTATGTTAGTTAACCGATCACCCACTGTATTACATAACAGTGCCCACCAGTGGCCAAACAGTTCTATTCCCCGAACACTGGTAGTTCGATTGCACATTGCCAGGTCATGGAGTTTAAGTTCTCCCATCTATTACCTAAATAGGAACCAGTTACCTTTAAAAGACTTTCCAGAAGGCATCCCCTACACCAGGGGTGGCCAACAGATTTTGTCCCTGGGCCAAATTAGAAAGAACTTTTTTCATGGGCCGAACCAGAGGCTGCCCTAGGAAGATTTTGAGGTGGTACGAGATCTCATTGTGGTGTCACCCGTAGAGACTAAATTGTACAGATAAAGCATGATAATAATGAAAAATGTATCAACATTCTACGCTGTACTTAAGAGATTTATAATAGAGGGTCAACTAAATGCACAGTGAGTTGACCCTTTTTTCGGCGTCAGAATTTGTCAGAGCTATTCGGACTTGAGTAGCTAATATTGAAAGATTGATTGCAGGCCACAAATTCATTCGACGGGCCGTATGTTGGCCATGCCTGCTCTAGACAGATCACCCAAGTGTTGCATTGCCATAACCAACAAACCATTATTAATATTTACTTGAAGTTTTGTGTGAACAGTTGAAATGTAAAATTTCTGCTTCTGGGCCATGCATAGCTACACAAAATTTAAATTCAATTCCATCAAAATTTAAATTGCTTGATCAAGATTTAAATAAAAAANTATAAAACAAATGTAATTTTTTCATTTTTCTATCTGGATTGCCGATATCATTTATAAATTTCCATGTATAGTTCGTTCATGGACACGAAGAGTATCCACTCGTTTAAACCACTTGTTACAAACTTTACACATATAAACTCTTCGAATTGCATCATGATTCATCCGTTGATGTCTGCGCTACATTTTGCTTTCCTCTGCTTATTTGCAGGAAATCTAAACAATCGAACGTCTGTAGATTTACTTTTACAATTTGGTACCACACAATAACACATTGTTTAAAGGTTTGAGTACTTATATACGTAATAATAGTCGACTCACGCAGGAACTACGTGTGGAGTGTAGTCTATCGATAAGTCCCAAAATGGCTGCTGCCGCATAGAATCACGGGAGCGTGTCCTGACCTTCTTATAAAGACCTTGAGGCAAGGTACATTTCGCGAGGCCCTCTGGTGGCGCAAGAAGACGAATTTTATAAAATAAAAAAACAGTTTATAAAAATAAGCAGTTGAAATTGTCAAATTTTTATTCCTAAAAATGCAAACTATATTCTTTAACTAACATTAAAAAAAATTAAAGAAACAGAAATTCCTGCTTTTAGCCTTACTGAACTCCTTAATAATTGTATCGTAATTCAGCTTATATGCTATATATGCTTCAATAGATAAAACTGCCAAAGCTGAAAGTCTTTCCTGACCTATTGTATTTCTTAAATAATCTTTCATTAGTTTTAATTTTGAAAAGCTCCTTTCGGCGTAGGCAGTACTTACCTGTATTGTTAACAAAATTCGAACGGCAACGTAATATATTTGGTTAAATTTCTTTCAAGTTATTTTCTGTTATGTATTGGAGCAGCTGTTTCACATCTTTAATGAAGTTGGGTAAATTTGGGATCATTGTTTGTAATTCTTCATATAACTCGTAAGGTTGGAAGTCACTGCTCTCAACCACTCGAAGGACTGAGTGTAAATCTTGACGATTTTTTAATACTTGCACTTTTGGAAGAATATTTTTTAACTTGCTTAGATCATAGAGAAAACCAAAATTTTCAAAATGTTGATTTAAAGACATAAATCCCGAATCCATATTGCTTATTATAGAATCAATCATGGTGTTAAAAAAATCTGTTTCATACCTGCTTTTGGGAGATTGCCTTCATCATAGAACATCCTTTTCTTTTTGGCTACCCTTTCGTTTTTAAAGTCTTTTGGCAGTTCATAATTGCTATTTTCAATAAATTGACGAGCGTCAGACAAGCATTTTTCGAATCCAGTTTGTCGATATTCTTTGATCCAGTCACAAAATGTACAGAAATGTTCAAGAGCATTGCTTAAATGGACTTGTAAAGATTGCCATAATTTGCTTATGATATTAACACGCGATAATATCTCATACCATACATGTAATGATATGATAAATTCTAAACTGAGCATTTCGTTTAAAACCGAATCACAATCACTGAGTGTGTCTGATTGTTCCGTTTGATTTTTTAAGCTTTCGATGCATTCAACATCAAATTGCAATAATACGGCCTTCACTGCCTCGATTCTGCTTT